TCTTTCCCATGCATAATCTTATAAACCTCAATCATGTCACCCCTCAGTCGTCGTTTCTCCAAGCTAAAGAGCCCCAAGCGCCTTAACCTTTCCTCATGAGCAATAGGCTTAGAAAAGATCAAAGGAAGTCCTTCCTTCGCAGTTGTGGGGAGAGGAAGGGAAAGGAGATGGTGAGCCGCTCTGAGACTCCAAGTGAAGGGCGGGGTATAAATCCAACCTCTTCCTCTTCTTCCTCTTCTTCTGCAAAGAGGAATTAACATGTGGAATTCACTGCTGCAGGAAGTTGGCCTGACAAGACAGAAAATGGCAAAAAGGCCACTGGAGACTCCAGAGGGAAATGGTAGCGCAACGGGAAAGCAGGGTGGAAATCCCCACAAGGAGGCCCCTTTTGCAGTCACCGAAACCAAACCAGGGTTTTTCCCCCCCCCCCCCGCCACGTGAAAGTACCTGGCTAACTAATCCACTACCTGAAGAGCAAATTATGTCAGGAAAACGCCAGAGCTACATCGGTCTACGCGAAAATCGGCATAACATTTATTTATTTATTTTATTTAACATTCGGCTTTATATCCCGCTCAAACCCCCTTATCCAGGGGGTCTCTGAGCGGCTTACAGGTCGGTGCTAGTCACCATTTTTATCCCCTGACTAGGGCCACATATTTATACGGGGTGGGGAAACCTACCAGCACTCTCTGGAGGACATCGAAACAGACGGTGCTTCTCACAGAAACTACCGGGGTCTCCCCCGGGGACGAGCTCACCTGATTCCCCTGAGCGAGCAGTGCCTTCAGCCGAGCGATTTCCGCCCGGAGCTCACGGATCAGCTTGACGTTTGGATCTTCGTTGATGGTCGGCTTGTTGATGATGTTCTTGGCCCGGTTTGCATAGCGGAGGGTGCTCAGGGTCTCCCCGTAATTGACATCGGCGGGCGAGATAGCTGAAGGAAGCGAATGCAGACACGGGCTCACCAAAAATAATCACACTTAACTGAAAAAAATCACCGAAGCCCCACGTGGGTGGGGAGAAAGTGAGCGGCCTGGTTTTACTGCCGTGGCATGGACTACGTCTAGGAATGAATACTGTATCACTCGGTTACTCGTTTTCCATGCATGGCTTAACAGCAAACACGGCCGATTTCAAAACAGGCCGTTTCCAACGTTGACACGCTCACAAAAGAAAGGTCTGGCCGTTTTTAACTAAATAATTAATTACTTGGAAGAACTAGATTGGAGTTCAGTAGCACCTTAGGGAAGGGCTGCGGTGGCTCAAGGGGTTAAGACGCTGAAGCTGCAGGCCGGAAGGTCGGCAGTTCGAGACCCGAGTGCCGCATGGCGGAGTGAGCTCCCGTCTCTGGCCCCAGCTCCTGCCAAACGAGCCGTTCAAAAGCAAGAAACTGCAAGTAGATAAATAGGTACTGCTTCGGTGGGAAGGTAACGGCGTTTTGTGTGCCTCGGCATCTAGTCATGCCGGCCACGTGACCATGGAGACGTCTTCGGACAGCGCTGGCTCTTCGGCTTGGAAACGGAGATGAGCACCGCACCCCTAGAGTCGGATTCGACTGGCTTTCGAGCAAGGGGAACCTTTACCTTTACTAGCACCTTAGGGACCAACAAGATTTTGGGGGTATGAGTTTTCGAGAGTTCCGTTCTTGTCCAGTGAAGAGAGCTTAGACTCCCGAAACCTTATGCCCCTCAAATGTCCTGCGGGACCCGCGGGACCTTGTACAGTTCCGCAGGGCCTGTAAGACGGAGCTCTTCCACCAGGCGTACGAGTAGGAGCCGCCACTACCACCATCATTTTTGTTCCATCTTGCCTGGCCCTGGAAAAGGGAACATCTGTCTCTCCCTGGAGCAGATGACACTGAGGAACAGAGTACGAGTAATACTAGCAATAGAGCAGTGAATCACGCCATCTGTGAGATAACATCTAGAGCACTTTATTAATATTTGGTTGTAATGTTATTTGTATAGTGGTGGTTTTAAACTGGTTTTAAATATGCTTTATATTGGCGTATGCCCTTGTAAGCCGCCCTGAGCCCGCACGGCAGGGAGGGCGGGGTATAAATTGAATAAAATAAATAAATAAATAAATAAATCTTGTTGGTCTCTGCGGTGCTACTAGACTTGAATCCATCATGGCTACCTTCCTGAAACTGATACTTGGAACAAGACGGCTACTCCCCCCCCCCCGATATAGTTTCCTGTCTTGTTATCGCAAACTTCAGAGTCAAGCAACAAATGGGCTTCAAAACACAACTCTGTAATTCTCACCTAATGGTATAGCGGTTAGGAGCACAGACTCTGATCTGGGAGAACCGGGTTTGATTCCCCACTCCTCCACATGCAGCTGCTGGTGGGACCTTGGGTCAGCCACAAGCTCTTTCAGAGCTGTTGTCAAACTCGTTTTCCATTTTATTGCTTGCTGGCCACAGATGTTGGGAGGGGGATCAAGAGAATGTGAATTTCAAATGCTTTCACTGTTAAGATGTGCTGAAGTAGATTGTTGCTTTTCATGCCTGGTAACATCCACCAGCTTACATGGCCTGGCTTTTGCCGACGTGGGAACACTGCGCTGTTGGTTTAGGTGGGTGGGATACCTGGGGGGTGATTGGCTCATAGCCTTTTAGGGTCCCTGTTTGAGCCTTGTATAGCTATTGCTTTCGCACCTCCATTTTCAGTTCTAACACAGCCAAAGTACAGTCTGGAACCTATTAGTGTCTCAATAAACTTCGCATTCTTCTAAGTGAGTGTTGTTGGGAACTCATTTCTCCAAGAGTCTGTTCTCTCAAGGGCAGTCCTCCAAAGAGCTCTCTCAGCCCCACCCACCTCGCGTGCTGTCTGTTGTGGGGAGGGGAAGGGAAAGGAGATTGTAAGCCACTCTGAGACTCCTTCGGGTAGTGAAGGGTGGGGGATAAATCCAATCTCTTCTCTTCTTCTTCTAATATGTGCTACTCATGAGAAAGGGTCACCATCTGTGGAAGGGGAGGTTAATGATAACACCTGCTACTGCAGGAGGAGTGAGAAGGGAACAGAATTACAGTTTTAGAGAGTGAGCAAGGTTACGCGCTGTATGCTGTATAAAGAGCAGGATGAACCAGCCAGTCTCCTTACTCGTCCAGTCTGTCCCGCCTCCTGGCCAACACGACACCTATCGGTACAGGGGCCGGATGTACTCAGGGTGAAATTCAGCACAAGGAAGGATTCACTTATTATTTATTTAAACAATTGGAGCTGCGATGGCTCAAGTGGTTAAGATGCTGAACTGCAGGCTGTGGAAGGTCGGTAGTTCAGCAGTTGGAGACCCGGGTGCCGCATGACAGAGTGAGCGCCCGTCTCTAGTTCCAGCTCCTGCCAACCTAGCCGTTCGAAAGCAAGAAATTGCAAGTAGATAAATAGGTACCACTTCGGTGGGAAGGGAACAGCGTTCCGTGCACCTTGGTGTTTAGTCATGCCGGCCACATGACCACGGAAACGTCTTCGGACAGCGCTGGCTCTTCGGCTTCGAAACGGAGTTGAGCACTGCAACCCTAGAGTCGGATCTGACTGGCTTTCGAGCAAGGGAACCTTTACCTTTACCCTGCCTTTTCTCATGGCTCAAGGTGGCTCACACGTGATAGTTAAACATTAGATATTAAAACCAAACAAAATAAATCCCTCGTGTGCTTTGTCAGCTGCACTGGTTGCCGGTTGAGTACCGGATCCACTTCAAGGTGTGGGTTATCACCTTCAAAGCCGTATACGGCCGGGGACCAACATACCTAAGAGACCGCCTCTTCCCATATACGCCTCGGAGAGCGTTATGCTCTGATAGTCAACACCTCCTGGTGATCCCTGGCCCAAAGGACGTCTGCCTAGCCTCGACCAGGGCCAGGGCTTTTTCCGCCCTGGCCCACACCTGGTGGAACATGCTCCCAACTGAAACCAGGGCCCTGCGGGATCTTATTCAATTCCGCAGGGCCTGCAAGACGGAACTCATCCGCCAGGCCTTTGGCTGAGGCAGCGGGCGTCCACACTTGCCCCCCCCCCGAGGGTCCTGTCTCCCACCCGCTGATAACCGGCCATACCTACCTACATCAACGGGCTGGTTTCTCCCTACGGCGAGCTGTGATTATTGATTTAATATGTTTATGATGTGTCTTAAATGTTATTGTATTTGTTGAAATGTTGTAACCCGCCCTGAGCCCGTCTACAGGACGGGTGGGATATAAATGCTTCTTTTCTTTGTAGTTGAAGATAAGTCCTTCTGGAGTTATCCATCTGTAGGGGGTGGAGTTTTTACACTAAGACAGTGTTCAGTTGACAGTGGAAGATTCACCATCTTTTAATATAAGTTGTATGATTTTATATTGATTGACAGCTTTAATGAAATTTTAATGTATTTTTATATATGTTGTTAGCCGCCCTGAGCCTGCCGAATGGCGGGGAGGGCGGGATATAAATATAAAGAAATTAATTAAATTGAAAAATAAACAAATAAGTATCTCCCCCAAATAGATGCTTGCTATTCACACTCCACTGAAAACTCTATAAATAAACAAGGTTTGTAGAGTCTCTTGAAGCTCTCCAACAAGGTGACTCCCCTAACCTCTTCCGGGATCCCACCAAGCAGGGGCCACAGTAGAAAAGACTTGGATTCTGGCCAATTCCCGGTGGTCCACCCTAAGTGGGGAAACAGTCAGCAGGGGGCAGTCTGAAGACCGTAAGTGGTGCATGGAAATAGACAGGAGATGACGCTCTGTCAGTCCAAATGCTTCAGTCCAAATGCTTAAGACCTGACCCTATCTCCAGCTGCAAGAGGGGATTAGATAAAGATCTCCAATAAAACCTGCTCCCCCTTGAATTTTGAGACTCCCCTTACAAGAGGGATGGTGGCTGCGTATCTATCCTCTGTGCAGGTCCCTCAACAACGTAGAGCGTTCACCCTGGCCAGATGCAATGCCATGCTGTCCGCCATCTTATTCGGCAGATTCAACAAGGTTTCTCATCTGGCCAGATACTGTCCATGCAGAAAGAAATGTGTGGAATCTATCACTCATGTTCTCCTGCATTGTAACCTGTATATGGACATAAGGATCACATATTTACAATCTCTTTTAACCAGTATGGGTGCTTGTTCTGATGCACTTAACGTGAATAGACTTTTAAGAGATCTCAGCCCGGACATTACAGAGAAGGTGGCTAAGTTTCTCTGCTTGGCTTTAAAGCTGCGCCAAAGGTTCTTTTAGAATTCTTATATATGTGCTTTCAACTGGTTTTAAAATGTATAAATGGTTCTGATAATTTATGCCAATAAAGGCTGACTTGACTTGACTTGATAAACATCTGGAGCAGAGGTCCATCAGTGGCTATTGGCCACAAGGGATAGATAGGAAGTCTCGGTCTGGGGTTAAAAAAACCACAACTCACTGGCAATCATGATTGTCTTCGAGTTTCCTCCCAGGCTGTCTTTCAACAGCCACGTTAAAACAGAATCCCTGTAAGGCACAAAGACTGGCTTCTTCTTCACGAGGGAATTTGCAGCATCCTGAGATAAATCAGCTACGAGGGAAGAAAGAAAACGAGGGGGAACGTCAGAGAGGGCAGATGACAAGGAAGCCGCAAAGTTTACTTCAGCGCGCAACAAACGAACGAACACAACAAAAAGCCAAAAAACAGAGAGACGTACCTAAGGCAGAAATCACATTTCCCAGCGTCACGAGAGACTTGTTAATATTTCCTCCTTCTTTTAATCTGACACCTGTAGCGCCAGTGGCATCTGCTCTCTCGCTTCCAGCAAGGTCGACCAAATGTATTTTGCTAACCGTCTCACAGGGCATTTCGGCATCGAACTTTGCCTGCAGGAGAAGCAGCAGCCACAAGGTGTTGAGATACGAATTATCATTTTGCTCCCGCTAGGAATCCCACAGGGGCGTGGGAAGGTACCAGTGTATTTCTTCACAACAGAAGGAGCCAGTATACTCTATCACTTCTTTTATTTGGCATTAGAACCACTGTCCATGCAAGTTATTTACAAGAAACCTTCCATTTAAATTTTCCAAATCACACCTATTCTAAAGAAACTGGAATGGCTGACACTTCAAATAAAAGCATTTCTTAACTAGGGATGGGCATGAACCAGAAAAATGTGGTTCACAGTTAGACTCAAACCACGAACCGAATCGAACTGGGAGGTTCGTTCATATATAAGTTATTTACAAGAAACCTTCCATTTAAATTTTCCAAATCACGCCTATTCTCGAGAAAACTGGAATGACTGACACTTCAAATAAAAGCATTTCTTAACTAGGGATGGGCATGAACCAGAAATATGTGGTTCACAGTTAGACTCAAACCACGAACCGAATCGAACCGGGAGGTTCGTTCATGAACTGAACCAGTTCGTGGCCCCGCAAACCCTGTTGAAAGGGACCGCAGTCCCTTTAAATGGGGTTTGCAGAAAGCCCAAAAAATAGCTATGAATCAGAGAGCTGATTTAGCGGCTTTCAAAGGAACAGAAAGCAAGGGTTTAAAGGGACTTGGAGACCCTTTAAACCCCTGGTTTCTACTCTATCCATGAACTGCCACGAATTTCTTTAAAAGTTTGTGAGGTAGACCCATCATGAACTTTGGTTTGTGGACCATGAACAGGGCGAAATTTGTGACGAATTTTGCTCCATGGTTCGGTTTGTGCCCATCCCGATTCTTAACACACATTATCTAACAGATTCACTTGCAGGTCTTGAAAACAGCAACTTTTTGTATCTGGAATTTCAGGGTATATAAAGCTTCATTCAAATTCTGCCAAGGTGAGAAAGAAACATGGAGCTGCTCTCTCTTTTCAAAGTGCTGACTTTACTCCTACATTGCAGTAATCCATCGTGGTTGGCCGATCAATTCTGTCTGGGCCATATTATATAAGCCCTTTCAGCTTGTTCTCAAAGGCTCCACTCCTGCGTAGTTCTCACGTACGTGAGTCCCTTTAGGGCACAAGGGGAAAGACGGGAACAAAACTCACATACCGCGTAGCTAATGGTCACTGGGTCGTAACTGAGGTATGCTATTCTCTTAATTGTAGTTTAAGAGACCAATCGCTTAACGAAAAGGAAACAGCGATACATTTGATAATACTGCAAGGAAAGCAGAGGCGAGGAGAACAAACAGACAAAGCTCTCTCTTCCTCTTCTCTCCCTGCCTCTTCCAAAAACAAACGAGACCCCTATTTTTTTCTCCATAGGACTTTGTTTTAAAACACACGTAAAGCTGCAGTTATCATATTGTTGGTCTATCAAGTCAGTACTGTCTACTCTTGGTGTTGGGGGGGGGCACAACAGTGGGAGGGCTTCTGGAGTTCTGGCCCTGGAGTTGGTGGACCTCCTGATGGCACCTGGATTTTGGCCACTGTGTGACACAGAGTGTTGGACTAGATGGGCCATTGGCCTGATCTAACATGGCTTCTCTTATGTTCTTATGTCCGGGGCAATAATGCTCTGTCTTCTTGGTGCTTGAGGGGGCAATAGTGAGAAGGCTTCGAGGGTCCTGGCCACACTGCTGGACCTCCTGATGGCACCTGGTATTTTTGGCCACTGTGTGACAGAGTGTTGGACTAGATGGGCCATTGGCCTGATCCAGCATTGGCATCTCTTACGTTCTTAGGTCTGGGGCAATAATGCTCTGTATTCCAGGTACTTGTGGGGGGAGCAACAGTTGAGAGGCTTCTGGAATTCTGGCCCTGCTGGTGGACCTCCTGATGGCACCTGGTATTTTTGGCCACTGTGTGACAGAGTGTTGGACTAGATGGGCCATTGGCCTGATCCAACATTGGCTTCTCTTATGTTCTTATGACTTGCAGCAGCTCTCCAGGGTCTCAGGCTGAGGTTTCTCAAATCCCTCCAAGATGCCAAAGGGGTTCACAGGATTCTCTCCTTCCCCAACAACCCTGTGAGGTCGGTTAGGCTAGAACAGAGAGAGCGACTGGACCAAGACCGAGCTCGGCAGCAGAGTAAGGATTTGAATCCAGAGCCTAGTCTAATATTTGGACCACTACACCACACACGCTCCCAAAAAAGACCTGAGCCACCCCCTGCTCATTTGCACAATACCTTATGAAGGATTTGGGCCTTAAAAAGATGGCTCTCTGACTCCTGAGTGATCCCTTCTCTCCAGTCAACTTTCTTCCTCCCAGAATCACCGTTCTGGTCAAACCCTGAGCCCTCAAGGTCTGCTTAAAAAGTAGAAACGTAAACACTCATAGAGATCTAAACCAGTAACCCCCTGTGTAGTTTGCAACAAGGATTTTCCATCCAACACCACTGGGAAGCAGGAGTCATTTCCTGCCGGAGCGCACAGGAGTGGAGCTCCGGCAGTAAAGAGCCCAGGGGGCGGGCACATGCAACAAGCCCCACCCCCTGCTCCCAGCAGCCCTCAGTCAGAGCAAGAAGCAGACAGGTAAGTTGCAGAGCTCCCCCCGGCCCCCCGGTCCAAAACAGTCCAGTGGCACCTTTAAGACCAAGTTTTATTCAGGTACCAGCTCTCCCTCCTCTGTGAGGACAGATCTGCATGCTCCCCCCCCCAATAGCTAGCAACCCAACACAGTCCAGTGGAGCCTGAGCGGTGGGGGTTGCCTTCTGACACACTTCCGGTGATGTCAGGGGGTGTGGCACATGCAAATAAGTTATGCTAATGAGTTATGCTAATGAGCTCCTGCACCTCTTTTTTTACGAAAGGACCCCTGCTGGGAAGTAACCCGGGATTTTGGCGTGGAGCCCGAGGAGGGCGGAGTCTGGGGAGGGAATTCAGCGCCGTATAATGCCATAGAGTCCAACGTGACCCTTATCTCCAGGGGAAGTGGTCTCTGTTGCCTGGAGACCAGCTGTCTCCCAGGAGAACTCCAGCCACCACCTGGAGGTTGGCAACCCTACTGGGGAAACAGCTTAGCGGCCCGCAGGGTCCAACCAGGCCTCCGACCCCTCGGAGTTGTGATGCCGGCAGGGAACTAGTAGAACAGCACCTGACGGAAACCCATCATGGCTGACCCAAACATGTAGTTTGGTCCCGTCAAGACTGAGGTCCAGAAACTAGATTCAGTGCTGGAGGTCCCCTTCTTGGACCTTCAATCTTTCTCAGCATCAGGGTCTTCTCCAGTGAGTGCTCCCTTCTCAGAGCCAGTTTGGTGTCGTGGTTAAGTGCGCGGACTCTAATCTGGGAGAACCGGGTTTGATTCCCCACTCCTCCACTTGCACCTGGCCGGATGACCTTGGGCAAGCCGTAATTCTGATAAGAGCTGTCCTTGAAAAAGAGCCGTTTCTGTCAAGAGCTCTCTCAGCCCCACCTACCTCACAGGGTGTCTGTTGTGGGGAGGGGAACGGAAAGGAGTTTGTAAGCCGCTCTGAGACTCCTTTGGGTAGTGAAGGGCAGGGTATAAATCCAATCTCTTCTTCTTCTCACCTCACTGCAACACATGGGAATACCGAGCAACACCCACCCTGCAATTTGGGGTACAATGCTCAAAAAGGCTCAAGATGAAGCACCTCAGTTTTAGAAAACAAGCACAGCACGGGGATCAGAGATCGCCTTCCATCTTCAAGGCCAGGCCCACAGCCATTAAATTTGTTTATGAACTCGGTTGTGCTCCTCTTGAGACGATCCAAGTAAATTACTGACTGAACTGTATTGTCTCTTGATATAGGAAATTTCGTCATTTGCTAAAGAATTAAAGAACATTGGAACATCAGAAGAGCCCTGCTGGGTCAGACCAGTGGTCCATCTAGGCCAGCATCTTGTCTCACACAGTGCCCAACCAGGTCCTCTGGAGGGCCAGCAAAAGGGCAGAGAGGCCGAGGCCTTCCCCTGATAAAAACACCAGAAGAGCCCTGCTGGATCAGACCAGTGGTCCATCTAGGCCAGCATCCTGTCTCACACAGTGTCCAAGTTCCTCTGGAGGGCCAACAGCAGGGCAGTTTCACTGGATGCCCTGGAATTCAAGTCTTTGGGGAGGGGGAGGGAAAGTTGCTTTGTCCACTCTCTCCACCCCGTGCATAATTTGATAAACCTCCATTGTGCCCCCCCCCCCCGGGTCGTATCAGAGGCTGAGGCCTTCAGAGGAACCTCAGAAGAGCCCTGCTGGATCAGACCAGTGAGGGTCCACCTAGTCCAGCATCCTGGCTCCCACAGCGGCCAACCAAGTTCCTCTGGAGGGCCAACAGCAGGGCAGTTTCACTGGATGCCCTGGAATTCAAGTCTTTGGGGAGGGGGAGGGAAAGTTGCTTTGTCCACTCTCTCCACCCCGTGCATAATTTGATAAACCTCCATTGTGCCCCCCCCCCGGTCGTATCTCTTCTCAACTGAGAAGTTCCAGAGACTCTTCACTAGGGAAGGGGCTCCAACCCCCACATCATCTTGACTGCCCTGCAGTTTTCCCAGCTCTAAAATGTCCTTCTGGAGATACTTTTCTGGCTTTCACCTGAGTGAAGTTGATGGTGAAGATAGCGTGGGATCTGCTGCTGGCGTCGTTCATTCCCGTGGCGGCTGTCGTCCGATTGATGTTTCCTGCTTCCATGAGTTCTTCGACGTCACAGTAGTTTTGCACCAAGTGTTTAGACAAGTCTGATCGAGGAGATAAAAACAGGAGACGGATCACTTCGCAGTCCGATAAAGCACATTACTTCTTTATTGACTTCATCTTGCTCCCCACTGAAATCGTTCTCCTCTACCCCCTTTTATCCTCACAACAACCCTGTGAGGTAGGTTAGGCTGAGTGTTTGGGACTGGCTCAGGGTCACCCAGAAAGCTTTCGCGGCAAAGTGGATCTCCCAGACCCTAGGGGTCCCCAACCTCTTGGGGCCTTTTGAATTTTGTCACTAGGTGGTAGGCACAACCACAAAATGGCTTCTGAAGGAGGTGGAGCCAACCACAAAATGGCTTCTCAAGGAGGCACAGCCAACCACAAAATGGTCACCCCAGGAGGCTGATGCACATATACATACGTACAGGGCTTTTTTTGTAGAAAAAGCCCAGCAGGAACTCATTAGCATAATAAGCCACACCCAACAGCAGAAACTCATTAGCATATTAGGCCACACCCCTGACAGCACTGCTCATTAGGCCACGTCCCCATGTCTTCCCTTGTCTTGCCGGGCACCCCGCAGCTGCAGGGAGCCTGGGCAAGCTGGCCCTTGGACAGGCTGGGGAAGGCATGGGGTCCCTCCTGGCCCGCCCGCCTCAGAGTTGCCGGGGGGGGTCACTCTGCAGGCCTTCCCTCTGTAGCCATGCATGCAGAGGTTTCGGCTGTAGCGGGCGTGGCCAACTCTGAAGCCAGCCGGAACTCCGTTCCTGTGCGTTCCCGCCCAAAAATAGCCCTGCGTACGTATACACAGGGGAAGCCGAAATGCAGGAAACAAGAGGAATAATTTTTTAAAAAAATACCCTGGTGAAGAGGAGAGACCGAATAAAACCATCACTGCGCTGGCAGCTGCTCCTGAAACAGTGTTATTTTAATCTCTACAGCCAATCAGATCTCCAATGTCTAATCGGAGGCCTTATGGGATAGGAGCCCCACCTGACCACATCCACTTTCTAAAAATACTTGGCAGGCACCACGTAAGGGGTCGGAGGGCACCATGTTGGTGACCCCCTGCTCCAATCACTACACAACACTGTCTCTCTGAATAGACTTGAAAAAGAAGAATTTTGACCTTACAACTGTACAATAGGGAGCTGCGGTGGCTCAAGTGGTTAAGACGCTGAACTGCAGGCTGTGAAAGGTCAGTAGTTCAGTAGTTCGAGACCCGAGTGTGCCGCATGACGGAGTGAGCTCCCATCTCTAGTTCCAGCTCCTGCCAACCTAGCAGTTCGAAAGCAAGAAATTGCGAGTAGATAAATAGGGACCACTTCGGTGGGAAGGTAACAGCGTTCCGTGCGCCTTGGCATCTAGTCATGCCAGCCACATGACCACGGAAACGTCTTCGGACAGCGCTGGCTCTTTGGCTTTGAAACGGAGATGAGCACCGCAACCCTAGAGTCGGATTCGACTGGCTTTCGAGCAAGGGAACCTTTACCTTTACTGTTCAATACCTTGAAAGCCATAAGGAGCCCTTAAGACAACCATATTTATTTCAGTAGCCATCTAAGCATGTTAAACGTTGAAAAAGTTACCTTGGGGGGAAAAGTTCACACTGTTCTAAAGATGTTGTACTCTCAGGAGACTACCGCATACACCAGAAAGGGATAGATTAAGACAATTAAACTCTAATAAGCACTCTTCCATCACAGGCGCCTTTGATTTATAAACCAGACTCATCATTAATCTCAAATCAATTAGTGGGACACATCACCTGCCAGAAGAAATCTTTAAATTTTCATCGCAACTGGGGACGATCTACACACAAATTAGCAGACCCAAACAGGGATCATAGACTTTTATAACTTCATTTACAACTGCCTTCCGTTTACAACCAAGACAAATTCTTTCAATTAAACATACAACGGGATATCCAATAAATGGAAGCATTCGCCCGCTTCGGTCTTACCTTCGACATAAGGGCCTTCTTTCGGATGCTCACGAATCCGTAAGTTATTTGTTTTGGAAGACTTGCGCCTTAATAGGTCTCTGACACGTTCGTTGTAAATTTCCAAGTAACTACAACAAAAACGCTTCGCATCAGAAGGGTCGTCCAACTTTTTTTTTTAACAAACTCGAAAGTATTCAAATAAATCTCTCTAATGATATCAGGCGTCACCTTCAAAAGATCACCTTCGAACAGTACTCTTACATGGGTCCAAGTAATGGAATGGAAAAAATATAAGTGCCCACTGAGCTTTGTGCGGCCTTTCCTGCATTCTCTCATTTTCATATCCTGCTTCTTCATATTTAAAAAAAAAATTTGTATTAGCTGCCTTTCTGTTATAGGAAGTTCTTTACACAGAGAGTGATTAAAATGTGGCATTTGCTGCCAGAGGATGTAGCGATGGCCACAGAAATAAACAGCTTGAAAAGGGGATTAAATAGATTCATGGAGGATAAGTCTATCAATGGCTACTAACTGTGGTGACTGAGGGGAACCTCCACATTCAGGGGCACTAATCCTCTGAATCCCAGAGTCAGGAGGCAACACCAGGGGAAGGCCTCGGCCTCTGTGCTTTGCTGTTGGCTTTCTAGAGAAACTGGTTGGCCACTGTGTAAGACAGGATGCTTGACTGGATGGACCACTGGTCGGATCCGGCAGAGCTCTTCTGATGTTCTTATCAGAGAAGGCCTTGACTTCAATGCCCTGCTATAGGCCGTCCAGAGGAACTGGTTGGCCACTGAGTGAAACAGGATGCTGGACTAGATGGACCATTGGTCCGATCCAGCAGGGATCTTCTGATGTTCTTATAGATAGATTCATGGAGGACAGGTCTATCAGTGGCTATCAGCCATGTTGACCGAGGGGAACCTCCATATTCAGAGGCACTAAGCCTCTGAATCCCATAGCCAGGAGGCAACGTCAGGGGAAGGCCTCGGCCTCTCTGCCCTGTTGTTGGGCCTCCAGACGAACTGGTTGGCCACTGTGTGAGACAGGATGCTGGACTAGATGGACCACTGGTCTGATCCAGCAGGGCTCTTTGAATGTTCTTAAGGCAGGTTACAATGTAAAAAAATAATAAAACACAGCAAAAATACATAAAGCACATTGAAACTACTGGTTAAAATCAATAATGTAAAACCCCTGCTAGACAGAAGAACTAATCAAATGCTGTCATGAATAAACTATCTTCAGTTGTCAACTAAAGATCAATAGGGAAAGGGCCAGGCACACCTCTCTTAGTAGGTTGTTCTCTAACTGTGGGGCTACCACCAAAAAGGTCTTCGCTTGTGCCCTAAGAACTAATCAAATGCTGTCATGAATAAAGCTATCTTCAGTTGTCAACTACAGATCAATAGAGAAAGGGCCAGGCACACCTTTCTGAGTAGGTTGTTCCCTAACTGTGGGGCTACCACCAAAAAGGCCTTCGCTTGTGCCCACCAGATGAGCTTATTTGATGGATGAGATAGACAGGAAAACCTCTCCCTGTGATCATAGTTCCCAGGTAGGGAGGTACAGGAGATAACACGATTTTATCAATATTTCATTATTGATAAAATGAAATAAATCTGTTGCCCAGAAGTCTTCTTAATCTCAGTTTCTCACATATAAAAATGAGACTGAATGAGCTGTCTTATAGGGCTGTTGCAATTTACACAAAGATGACTTTGCAGTCGTAAAGAGTCACCGATGACCAATATTAACACAATTTGCAGGTGATCTGAAGCAGCCAAACAAAGTTTTGAGTCTATCGACACCTTTAAGACCAACAAAGTTTTATTCTGGGTATAAGCTTTCGTCCAGAAGACCCTGATGCTGGGAAAGACTGAAGGTCAAAGAAGACGGGGACGGCAAAGGATGAGATGGTTAGACAGTGTTATTGGTGCAACGAACATGAAATTAAGCAAACTCCGGAGGACAGCGGAAGATAGAAGGGCCTGGCATGATGTAGTCCATGAGTCACAACGATTCGGACTCAACTGTGCGACTGAACAACAACAAAAACATCTGTGAACCACAAAAGGAAGAATCAAATGCCAAGGGGTTTGGGGTTTTTGTGTGTGTGAATTCGCTAGTTAGTTTTTGTTTTGTTTCGTCATAACTAGTTGGTATATAAATATCAGGGCCTAGTTAAAACATGAAATAGAACCATCAGGAAACTGACCAGCTGTTAATGGTTCAGGTGGGGGTAGCTGTGTTGGTCTGAAGTAGCCGAACAAAGTTTGAGTCCAGTGGCACCTTGAAGACCAACGAAGTTGGACTAAAACTTTGTTCTGACCGACATGGCTACCCACCAGACTCTACAGCAAATGAAGAGGAGCGTTTTTGTGTGTGGTG